GAACAAAGTTTTCCATGGACAGCAGTATAAAAATTCCATGCTTTTTATTACCAGTTAGTAACCTGTGTTACTCTAGCCCACTTGTATTAAATGTTAAATGTGAACTGGATGTCATTTTGATGCAGGCGTTTACTGTTATGTCCGTCAGTGTAACTTGTACATAGGATGTAGAATACATAGATAAAAATGTATTTTATTGCTTTTGTTCTGTTTCTTGCTGCAGCATATTGTTATTTCTCTATTTTGCCAAAAGAGACTGGTTGTATGACACATGGGAGGAAAAAGACCAAGTAAAGAACCATGCTAGTAACTACTGTATTTTCTCACACACGACACTATTTACTTATTTTAAAAACAGGTGCTGGAAATCAGAGTATGTATTATATGCAAGGAAATATATGGTAAGAGTGTCTGCCACTTATCAGCAAGGATCCGGGTTTTTCTGTTTCCCATGGAAAAACAGAGTAAGCAGTGAATTTTGCCCTTTACCAGAGGCAAACGCAGATTTCTCCTTTTACCAGAGAAACCCGTGGATTTTGCCATTTTGTAATGTGCTCCTCACAGGCTGACAGAGTTCCATCCTGCAGAGAGCTGGGAGGGAGCAGAAGGAAGGTGGAGAGATGGGGCACCACATGCATGAACATGCACGTGGCCCCAGGCATACCTGCTGGAGCTGCCCTGCAGGCTGTGTTGGGGGAGAGGGGGATTGAGGCCGTTGTAAGGAGGGAACTGGTCAGGACTCAGGCTGCTGCCCAGCTGAGTGGGGCTTGGGTCCTGGGGTTGCATTGAGCAGCTGCAGGGCCCCAGTGCGGAGCAGGACAGGGCCACGGGTGGGTTTTCCGCGCATGCCTGGAGGGCAGGGGGAACCCACGCCCCCCCAGATCTGTATGCTGGGTAGGTGCAGGGTGCAGGCATGGGCTTCTGCCCTGCTTTCCTCCCCTGGGGCCTCTGCAGCCTGTCAGTCACTACCTGGCGTGGCAGGAAAGAGCAAAGTTGCTGGGGATCCCCTTCCCCACCCCCGGCCCTGGTGACGTGCCCTCTGTGCCTGCTGTTGCTTTGACAGGCACGGCTCCATGCCATTTGCCCTCGCTG